ATTCAAAGGTCATCCTATAAGCCAGCAGCTTTCTCCAGTTCTGCCTGAAACCTCAATTTAATCCTGCAGTAAAATGTTCCACTGAGCTAGTTGAGCATCCAGTAACTGAGTGGTGGTGGAGTTATTCAGGACGTGGGTACGGTACCATTAGAGATTCAGACAGAATACCACAGTAAGGAAACTAGCACTCCCAAGACAACACGTGAAAACAGGGCAGCTGACGCTGAGCTAAGCTGCACCCAACTGTACAAAAGTATCACCTTCCACATCTCTGGGTCACAAAAGGCATGCATGTGTATCTTGCTGGCAACTTGTGCCCTTATCCTCAAACAGGTTTGGCTTTCAAGTAAGTAAGACCCTGGGACAACAGAAGGAAAATACATGCTTAGATCCTTCTCCCAGATCAGGGGTTTAGCCAGAAAATATATTGTGTAGCACTGTAAAAAATACTTGGACAGCAACTTGCAAACATTTTAGAAGGAAAAAATTTTCTTAAAAAAAATGAAACAGGAATGTCAGAAAATCTATTCTACTCCAGGAGCTAATGGCTCATGTAACCATTCAGGAGGCTGAGATCTGAGGACTGCAGTTCAAAGTCAGCCCAGGCAGGAAAGTCCATGAGACTCTTTCATATCTCCAATAAACTACTCAGAAAAAGCTGGAAATGGTGTTATGGCTCAAGTGATAGAGCACTAGCCTTGAGCACAGAGACGCAGACCCTGAGTTCAAGCTCCAAGACCAGCAAAAAAGAAAGAAAGAAAGAAAGAAAGAAAGAAAGAAAGAAAGAAAGAAAGAAAGAAAGAAAGAAAGAAAGAAAGAAAGAAAGAAAGAAAGAAAGAAAAGAAGGAAAGAAGGAAGGAAGGAAGGAAGGAAGGAAGGAAGGAAGGAAGGAAGGAAGGAAGGAAGGAAGGAAGGAAGGAAGGAAGGAAGGAGGAAGGAAAGAAAGAAGGAAGGAAGAAGGAAAGAAAGAAAGGGAAAAAAGTCCGTATTCTTTGTACAGCCAGGATATTCAAATAGTTTTGTAGAAGATAAATAATCCTCTTAAAGACACAAAACCTCAGACTCATAACCCCTGTATTCAGAAAGCTACCCAACTAACCACCTGTGAATATAATCCAACTGTTAAAAAAAAGTCACTGAACAAGTTTCTAACATCAAGTGTGTATGATATGTGATATGATTAATAATCATAGAATAAGTAATTTGTTTCCTTCAGATACAAAACAATATATGGGACTCCATTTAAAGCAAACTGCAAACTGGAGCTTGTATTGCCCCTAGGAAGGCAAGGAGCAAAGACCTGGTTGGGGAACTGGTCGGGCATGAATTTATCAGCACAGGGATTCAGCACTGGTCTTTCCAGCCCTCCACAGCCCCTCTGACCTCAAAGCAAAAACAAAAACCCACACCTTTAAAAAAAATAAGACTTTCTCTCTTTTTATATTTTTTTCTTTAAGTAATACACACAACACCAGCTATTAAACCTTTGACAATGATAATTAGACAAAAATGTAGGTAAGAAATAAGAACCATCTTAAAAACAAGAAATATCAAAAGTTCTTCTGGCATCAAAGGCAAGTTTGGGTGACTGTGTGTAAACGTGTGCTCTGCATATATAACCAATGAATGAACCAAGAGTTCATTCATTTTTACCTTAGGGATTCACAAGCTATGAAATGGAGTATTATTTTCAAATACACCAATCTATTTCTAATTTAATAAACTAACAAAGCTACTTCATGATTCTTATCAGATACATCCCGTTTTGCATAATGTTGAGATAGATACTCAAATAAATTGAGTTGTAGTATTTTGGTTCAAACAGAAAAACTATAAGGTTTATGGAAAATCACTCATATGAGATCAGAAAGTTCAGGGCTGTAAAAGTGAGACAGGGTTGTTTTGTTGTTTTTTTTTTTTGGGGGGGGGGGGTTGCCATAGAAATGTGTATAAGCAAGTAGCCTAGCAATGCCTATATCATTTCCCAAGAACATTGTATGCCCATGAGAAACAAAATGTATAATCTTTCACTTGCAAACAGAGGGAATGATGCAGTATGGGTTGTTTTGTTTGTTTGTTTTTGTCTTTCCTTGAAATAAGGCCTTATAAGTAAACAGTTTACCATGAAAAAAAAAATCAGGTCATCTGCAGTTAATAACTCTTTCTCGTAAAATTAGTGTCACTTATTTCTGTAGCAGACGCCTAATTCAGTCACAGGCTTGATTGATTTGACAATAAAGAATCTGCTCCAATAATGTGGCTGATTTATTTCTGATGATATAGCTTTTACCCTAAAGTGACATCACTGAAGAATTACGTCTTTAAAATATAAAGAAATTCATTGTCGTTTTCATTGAAATAAAAAACAAAAACAGCTAAAGATGCTGGGCATGGACTGTTGTCCAAAACTTTCAGTCAAGTTTAACACCTTGTTTTGGTACAAGGGAAATAAACACAAAGGTCGTAACACAGAATACGAGTTTGAACACAAAGAACAGTTTAGAACAGCATGTATTCTACCAGCTGACAGTGTTCTTTCTCCTGAAAGGTCTTATATTTTATCTATATTATTGCAAATTGCCTGTTTCTAATTTCTTGCAAACTATGTATCTGATAAAGACACAACTTAACATCAAACACAGCTCTTCGTAAAAACGATTTCATTTTAAATAAACAGCAGCCTGGGCAAAATCAATGAGAATCTTTGTTCCCAGCATCTGGCCCTGAGATATCCAAGTCAAGCAAGAAGTGTTTACAGTGTGAGAAACTAGACAGTGGTAGAAAGGGTTTTCCATGTGGGAACCCCATCCACTTCCGAGAGACATTTTCTTAAATTCTTTAAGCTAAAAATGTAAAGTATTTTATACTTGTTTTGATGTCTTTTTCTCCTTTTTTTTTCTTTTCTGCAGACTCCATAGTGGCCTGTCGCTCTGAAGGCAACTTCCCTGACCCCAGCCTGACACCGCCCCGTTAATGTCAGATAAACCATTTAGCCCAAGCACAATTCTTTTCTGTGCAAAAATCTGCTTGAGGTGGAAAATGTAGCAGTTTGTAAACAATAAGGAGCCATGTTTCAGACCAGACAGCTTATCTAACAGAGAGCTCCTTTCATTGGAAACAGTGGGTGGGAGCCTCGTGGACATAGTAGCTTTGCCTGTCACAATGCAAAAGACTGTCTTGGCCTCCATATTTAAGAGTTTAATGGGAAGGAGGGCAGTCTGGATGAAAGAACGAGGCGGACATGGATTTTCAGCTTACACAACAACTAAGTGAAAAGAATCAGCTCTCTTAGCTCGAGACTGTCAGTCTACTCCCCGCTGCCCGCCCCCGCCCACAACCAGTCCCAGTCCTGGGGCTTGAACTCAGGGTCTGGGCATTGTCACTGAGCTTTTTTGCTCAAGGCTAGTGCTCTACCACTTCAAACACAGCTCCACCTCTAGCTTTTTGGTGATTTATTGGAGATCTGAGTCTCATGGATTTTCCTACCCAAGCTGGCTAGGAACAGAGATCCTCCGATTTCAGCCTCCTGGGTAGCTAGGATTACAGGAGTAGACCACCAGAGTCCTGAAAGTATATTTACAGTTTAAAAGTATACTTACAGTTTAAGTACTATTTGGATTGACAAACTCATTTGGTTTGTAAAACAGCGAGTTTCCTATGAGGGATCATGAACAAGAACAATTGTCTAATATATTTACTCCTATTGCTTAGTGGATTTGGTAGTATTAATTTATTTTTTAAGCCCTTCAAACTTTTTTTCACATATGCAGTAGGCAAATGTCTCTAAACCTGAGTGATTATCCCCTTTTACTTAATTCATCAGGAGATAATTTTAGAGTTTGACATACGTTGTTAATGCTACTTCTCAATACTGATTTCCCAAATGAAGAAAAAAATAGAACATGATATTAAGAAAAAGTTATGAACAAAACCAACTTTGTACTACACAGAGTCACAAACATACAATGATACCCATTTAAAACAACTCTGGGCTAAATACCTGATTGGCTGATGATAACTGGAGAAATGACTGAGATTAAAGAACTACCTGTTTCTGAAGTAACCGACATGGATCCAAAGCTTGCAACTCAGGACACTCCAGAAGCATTTGCAATTATAAGTTCAGAATGGTAATAATTATTGCTGAGTGTTGTCCTTGGAGAATGGTCCAACAGCTTGTGCCATGAAACTGAACTTCATTTATTGACAGATTTGCAATAGAATTTCACCAGGCTGACTAACTAATATGTGTAAGAAATGGTATTTACTAGAACAAAGATCACAAAACTGAAGTGGCCAGCTCTTGGGACCTGTTAAGCCATTAACAATTATCTTTTTATCAGGTTAGTGCTGTTAAACAAATGCCCCTACAGTCAAATACAGAAAAATACACTAAGGATACCAATATGGAATACAAGACAGAAACACATAGAAACTACAGATAGTCACGTAGTTTGCTTCCAGTGACTCAACATGGGGTCTATCTAGACAATCAGCACTAAGTTCACACTCTGATAAATATGCAACCAGATTTTAGCACTCAGCTTAAATGAACTACTCTGAGTTAACCGCACACACTATTCCATTGACAATATTTGTGTCTAATACACCAAAAGTCAAAATTCACACCTAACACTGTATACTACCTTGCAAATCAAGGAGAAGAAAAGAATGGTTTTCTTATAAATATTCACTACTTTGACTTCCACAACCTTTTACTAAGAAAACTACTGTTAAAAACCGGAAACTGGGGTGAGTATTTTATGTTTCTCGAAGACAAAATAGCCACACAGAGTCAGTACCACTGAAATTATTTAATTCCCTGTGGTTGTAAAACTTAAGTCTGTGATGTGCTATTAACAAGCATCAACTGGCAATCTTTTTCTGTAATTCAAGCTTACTACAGCAAACTGAGCATCTGTCTTGGACAAGGGTTTCCCTTCCATGGTTAAAAAAAATAAGCATTCAGAAAGGACATGTTAATATAAAACTTGTCTTACTTTGTATTCTGGAATTGACAAAAGGTGGAGAGAGATTGTCGTGTGAACCAAGGTCCCTGCTGGTCATGTGGTCGTAGGGAGTCCCATCTCCATAGTTCTGCAAATTAAAATAAGGTGGTAAGAGTTCAAACTTTAGCTTAATTAAATCAGCACCTAAACTTATGCCCTTCCAAGACTGAAAACCCTGAGGTCCACAGTGCCCTCTGTGGAACTTCCATAAAGAACCAGCACCTTCAAGGACAGTGAGGAAGAGAAATCTCTAGAAGCCAGGAGTGAAGAATATATGGCCCCCAAACTCACTTGATCCATGATGGGACGACATGTATTGCTTCTCACTGGCTGCTCACGACCCATCTAACTGTACTGACAATTTCACATTGCGTGTAATGATGTTATAAACATCTAAATGGCTTTCTGCAGAAAAAAAATTTATCCACCCTGTTAAGCGTATATAGGGGGGCTAGGAATGTGGCTTAGTGATAGAGTGCTTGCCTAGCATGCACAAAGCTATGGCTTTGATTCCTCAGCACCACATAAACAGAAAAAGTGGAAGTGTTGCTGTGGCTCAACTGGTAGAGTGCTAGCCGTGAGCAAAAAGAAGGTCAGGGACAGTACTCAGGCCTTGAGTTCAAACCCTAGGACTGGCCAAAAAAAAAAAAGTAAGTTTCACATTTTTCATATAATGATTGTGAAATCTTGGGAACAATAATAATGGCACCAAAAGCATGGAGTTATTAGGATAATTAAATTAAATAATGCTTATAAAACACCAGGCGCATATGAAGTATACTGTACATATCAGAAGTTATACATGGGCCAGGCAAAATAATAGCACACATCTGTAATCCCAGCTACAGAAAGCCCCAGTAAGAAGTCAAAGGCCAGCCAGGGAAAAGAACAAGAACCAGTCTGAAAAACAAACTAAAGCAAAAACAACTGATGGTATAGCTCAACTCAGGTGAGCACTTGAGTTCAGTCCCCCCCCCCCATACCATCAAAAAAATCAAAAACGAAAACCAACAAAGTTATTCTTCTGATAAGCATATTAAAGCAAAAGAAATCTCTAAGTGCCGGGCGCCGGTAGCTCATGCCTGTAATCCTAGCTACTCAGGACACAGAGATCTGAGGATTGCAGTTCAAAGCCAGCCTGGGCAGAAAAGTTCTTGAGACTTTTATCTCCACTAAACCACCAAAAAACCAGAAGTGGCGCTGTGGCTCATGTGGTACAGCACTAGCCTTGAGCTGAAGAGCTGAGGGCTAGCACCCAGACCCAGAGTTTAAGCCCCACAACAAGGGATGGACGGACGGACGGAAGGAAGGGAGGAAGGAAGGAAGGAAGGAAGGAAGGAAGGAAGGAAGGAAGGAAGGAAGGAAGGAAGGAAGGAAGGAAGGAAGGAAGGAAGGAAGGAAGGAAGGAAGGAAGGAAGGAAGGAAGGAAGGAAGGAATCCTTAAGTGGCCTGGCATCATTTGCTTTGTGAAGACAAAGATATAACTATTTACATACAATATTAGGTTATGTGATGTTGAAGTCTTGACACTCTATTACAGTTACTATTGCAATTGTAAGAGAACTGGCTCATTGCATTAGTAATTAACACAATTAATTAAAACTATGAAGAACATTAGATGTAGCTATGAATGCACGTCAAAGCTTCAGCATACATTAGTATTTCTAAAGCAGGACAAATATGCTACCTTTCCTCCTCTTTAAAAAATGGCTTTAAAGTGGACAGATTTTAGAGAAACATTTTGCTATTATTCTAATTATCTCTTGGTTTTCATGGAAACTTAAAATTCAAACAATGTTATTGTTTTTCTCACTAGTCACTTAATTTCCATGGAGAAATTTGATAACCTATAATAAAGGGTTAAAATTGTTGGTATGACATGATTCAAATCTCGCTTTGCTGAAGTGCGTAAGGAGACCAGAAAGGAGAAGGTGAGGGGGGAAGGATTGCTCAGCTGGCTGAACCGCCCATAAAGTCTATGCCAGATCCATTCAGAGGTATCAGTTGCCATGTTAGCCAAAGGGCAGGATCGGCCCACACCACCGAAGATGGGTACTGTGTGAAGAATGTAAAGACGCCATCACCTTGCTGCAGAAGGACTGGCACCCTCAGCACAAACAACCCTGTTTTCACTCCCCTCATTCACAAAAATGAACCTAGCTGATGCTATAATCTAGTTCTGCTGGATGCTGCCATGTAAAAAGATGCCCCATTTTAAATCCATATGGTGGGTTTTCCCTCACTCACTCCACACTGGGTACTGCACAATACAAATTACTATTGGGTGTGCATCCTTATCCCAGTGCTTTAGCAACTTACTATATATTACCTAATTTAAGCCTCAGTACAGTGCTACAAGTAGGAAACAAAACCATCACTTAACGATAGGACGGGGAGTTGGCAGGGGTCTAGGGACTAGTCCACCAGTGCCCATCTCGTGTCAACTCCCTGGGTTTGGAAAATAAAAACGATAATTCCCTGATTCGAAACTATTCACCAGCATATTTATTAGGAAGAAGGGTTGTCTGCTAATGAAAGCTAAAGTTTGTTCCCATCTTTATAATTTTTTTTTATTTTATGTGAAAAATCTTTAATGTTCTTCATTAGTGTACAACAGAGTTGCACTGTGTTAATTTCATACATACATATATGCTGGTCAAATTCCACTCCTCTACTATTCTTTTGGATCTCCTCCATTCTCCCCTCTCCTTTTAACAATGTTTTTAAAGTTTCATTGTTCTATTTCATACAGGAAGTAATTCATCAGTGAAGTACTTCAATCATATTCGCCCACTTCACTTTCTCCCTTCACCTCCGCCCTCCTGATGCTTCCATTCACAAACTGTTCCCACGTGCAAACTAAAGTTAAAACTAAATCAAGAAGACTCTAAATGGCTCTACTTGCAAAAGCCCAATTGTAAGTATAATAATTATTTGAAATTTACCTATTTTTCATTTCTTCTTTCGATTTGTATTTGATTCAATGGAGATGGTGGTAGGCTCAATTACGTACAGTACGTGAGAAAAAGAAACAAAGTAAGTCTGAATGAACTAGACAATAGAGCGCAGCTCCGTCACCTCCACTCGCTGTCAAGGGGAATGGATTTATTTCTGCAAGTGCAGACTGTAACGTGAGGAGGAGGAAAGATTTCCTCAGCCCATCCATATAATGCATTAGAATGTCAAGCTCGACAGCTGGTATAAGGCTCAACAAAGTTCCCAGTAAGCTTAGAGATCCTGCTAGACTCTGTGAGGCTCACAATGCCAAAGACAGGTGGAAACAGATAACTGTGGCCTGCTAAAATGTCCTCATTTTGACAGCTTGATGACCTCCCCTGCCTCTACTGCCAAAATTGAGACCTCCTCCAACTCTAATCCAATACAACCCATTGCAGTAAAGCTTCGTCCTCCCCACCAGAGAGCCAGATGGAGGAGGCGAGATGTTTGCCTTACCACATGTACCAAGTTTACTTTCAATATGGGGCATGCTATGTGCATCATCTGTGGTTTTAGAAGGCCTAGGAAATCAGTGAAACAGATGTTTCACTTCTGTTATTTCACTGTACAAACTGGGAAAATGAGAAACAAAGAGGTGAAAATGACATACCCAAGATCACAAGCACACAAAATCCCACAAAGTCCAGTCTCAAGCCCATGAACTCATTCTAAAATCTCTCCCATTTGTTCAAGGGAACAAATAAAGGCGGTGAGTGGTGAAAAAGAATAGCAAAACTTGAAACCAAATACAAATAAATCCAACTAGTTACCAACAACCCTACTGGTGGAAAAACAGCATCAATACAAAGTGAAATCAACCTAAATTATGACTGATAGGCTAGAATCCCAAATAGGATTTTCAGGATGAATCCACAGTCTAATCACACCAAGAGATGACAAAAAAATGATGGTATTCCTTTTTTTTAAGTTGTTCTATATACAAAGAATAACTTTCTGTCAGTAAGGGGGGCAAAAGTAAAAGCCAAATTTTAATAAAGGACTTTTCATCAAGTTAGCACAAATGGAACAGGTGTAAATTCAGTAAATATCTCCAACAAGAGAAGAAAAGAGAACTCCAGAGAATTTTCCTTCAATTTAGTATGCATATGTGTATGTGTATGTTCAAGTTGTGTGTGCACACACACGTGTGCATGTATGTGTATGTGCATGTCTATGCAGGTGTAGGTGAGAAACCTGCTCTTACTTTGTCAATTTACATATGTAGAATGTCTGGTTTCAGGGGACCAGATTAGATATACTTACCCTGGATGGGCTTGGGTGTCCTCCGTTCCCCCAGGACCCTGAGCTACTTCTGTCTTCTACATCTAGGGAAAAGAGAAAAATTCTTTAGGCTCTCTTGCAATCATTCTTTCTTTTTGTATTTGCAGTTTTAAATTAATGTTTCAAATTAATCTCCTGTTGCCTTTAATTAAGAACCAGGCACGAGGCTACCATGATGATAGTGGCTTCTGACCCATCTACTTAAATTAACTCATTTAAATTCACAGCAGAAATGAACTGGACCCTCAGGAACCAGAGGTATGCACATAAAAATTACTTCCATCCTTCACACGGCCTGATAGACTCTAGTTTCGTTGACATAAAACCGCACTTAAAGTTTTATTAAAATCTTCTGGACAAAACAAACTTCAAAATGCACTAACAATCATAATTCAAAAGACAAGTTGAACTGAGGTGACTATGCAACCTAATTCATTCAACCTCTTTGTCATCAGGCTCTTGGGAAGTTCTCTCCCTAGACAAGATAGACCACACTGGACCAGACCTAGGCAATAGAAAATATAAAACAAAACAAAACACAAAAATACTGAGTAATCTACTTCTACTACCACACTTCAGGAGTACTGGAATTATTGTTTGCTTGCTTGGTTTTTTTTTTTTGTTGTTATTGTTTATTTATTTAAGGTTTCTAGATTGAAACTTTCTTTTAAATTTTGTTTTATACTACACATAGCACTGGACCTAAATCCAAAGTCTTGACTTTGGGATATAAATAAGACTTGAGATAGCAATGAGATGCTATTAAATTACAAAGCAGTATTTTGTTTGGATCAGCAGCACAAGAGAAACTTGAAATTCACTAAACTCTTCTCCAGACAGTTCTAATGCTGACCATGTGAAGAAATGTCCCAACACAACTGCACACAGAAACAGCCAGGAGAGGGACAGAACAGGGAAGTTAGTACACTTCCTGCCTAAAACATCACAGTGTTTTCGAGATCAGTCCCCCTAGATTTAGGAATGGCTGTGAGGTTTCAAATGAAATGTTCATTGTAAGCAGGAAAAAGTTTCCCTGTTTCATTATTTCAATCACGGTTGATAACAGACGGCCATCACAAGGATTCCGACAGAGTTGGAGGAGGGTGTGAAACTCCCATCCAGGAGACAGAATCCCATTTATTGTTTCCGAACATTTCGGTGATATTGTTTATTCTCTTAATGGTCTACTGTCATTCCTTCTATTACTGTGATTTTATTATCAGCAGAAGTAATTATAGTATAATTAATTGATTTATTTCGGGGTGCAGTGGAGTACATGATGTTATAGAATATATTAAGAAATGAAATGGCAACAGTGATTAACTGCCATTAACTTTGTGTGTATGCTGGTTTCCTCACCCTCTTTTCTCCTCCCCTCTTCCATCATTTCCCTTCTCTCCCCTGACTCCTTTCCCCTCCTCTGCTCTTTCCTTCCTCTTTCCTCTTACATCCTATCCTCACTCCCTTTCTTCTCCTTCCTGCCCCCACCTCTATCTCCCCCTTCCTCTCGCTTAACTCTCAGTTCCTTGTGGTTGGTGCTTTAGTAGAGAACATTACTGTAGACAGCTGTCCCCTGTGGACACTTAGGATCAGCGCACTGTGAGCTTTAAGGCACATAAAGAAAAAGCTCTGGGGACTATGTCAACCCTGGGGAAAAAAGTGTTAAACTTTCCCCAGATCTGCTGTTTAACAACCCAACATGCTAGCCTGTCCTGTATATGCTCAACTGAAAAATATACAGAATTCTCATTCTCCTGAGTTTTGTAAAACAAGTGCATGGTCAAATCCTTCTATCACTGAATGTTTTCCAACTTTTGGAACAAGGTATCTTCCTTTTCATCTATTACAGCCAGCTTGAATTAATTTGAGATTAAGTTAAGCCAAAACATTATTAATAAAGCACAAGATTTAACTCTAAAGACTTCATATTGTTTGTATTCATTTTACCTCTCCAAATTCAAAAGATCTTTAAACACATAAGGTAGATAAAGACCTAGAGATACAGGAACTTATTTTACCAGACCAGTGGAAGTCTACTTGGGGGAATCTTGCCCCCCAAGTGTCCCCAGTTGGGAGGGGGGACTGGTAGCTAGGGAAAATGGATCAGACATGCTGTAACATACCCTACACAAAGGCAAAGAAAAACCGCCATAACCAAAAATGGTCCTGCCCAACTCTGCTGTCAACGTTACTAACAATGCCCCCACAAAAAGACAATCTATTAGTTACATAAAACAAAAAAGAATGCTATTAAAGGAAACTATGTACTAGAATTCAATTTATAATTTAGTAAGAACTCTTTGTAAATACAGTGCCTTGTACATTTGAACTCAGACTTAGCTGCAATGTTTCAAGAGACCTTTCTATACATCTTCTGTCCACTGAATAAAGGAAAAATGATGGTCAACCAGGCAGCCTGCTAATTAGCAGGGAGATAAAACACATCAAAACTTGAGTATTCCCAACTGGGCAATTTCAAAAGCGAGCAATCCACTAATTAAAAATGCTGGAAGTCGAGCCTTTTTCAAAACAGGTTAAATACTGGCTGGGTTCCTTCACAAATAGATTCCCAACCAATCAGATCTGACTGCTCTTTTCCCATTTCCAACGTCCTCATTTCCTGACCTCATGTGGTTGTGCCTTCCTTTCTGCTTCCTCCCATTTACTGCTCTCTTTTGAAAAGACTCTTTCCCCTCCCCCCTTGGCTTCCTGCTAGATCTAGAGAATAAGGAAAAATCACCACCTCTACTAGACCCAATAAATAGAACTGCTGCATAAATTCTCAGCATATTTCTTCTTGGATTAAAAAAAAAACAACTATGTGCCTGCTGTTCATTTGTCAATAGCAAGAAGAGACAAAGCCATAGGCTGGATAATGGTAATCCATAATGAAAGGTAAACATGTTAATTTTCAGTCAATTGTTTCCATCTTCCCTCCCTTAAGCTTTGTCAGACTAGCCTGCATATCATATCAAAGTGCACATGCTTATATCTAATCATAAAGTGTGCTCATTTCAAAATCAACTTCTTAAAAATAAATGTATTATCTTTAAGTTGTTGTAGGAAGGAGGTACCATATAACAAAGTAGTTTATGAATACAGTCAATGTCGCCCACTTCAATATTCCCACCCTTCAATCCACCTTTCTTCCCTTACTTATCATTAATTCTGTGGTATATACAATAAATTCTTGACTGCCCCATCTCAGATCTACTAAGTTTGAAACTTCAGGGTTGAGGGCAAGAAAACTGTGTTTTTCACAAGATCTCCAGGTAGTTCTCATTCACACAGGAGTTTCAAAGCCACAAGACTACACAGGTAGACACACAGAACAAGTCATGCCGATATCCAATGGCACATCTCATGACTTGTATGAAAATCCTACTTTGGACTGCCCATTTTAACAGCATTCAGTATACACATCAATCTTCTCTTACTTGACCTGCCCTTGGCCATCCTTTACTCCCTTCTCAACACTGAGTACTACTCTTAAATACTACCATACTTTTGTTACTACCATTCTCTCTGCATTAATTATTCTCCTCCTGAAAAACAATGGTGGCTCACATTTAGTGAGCCTAGATACATACCAGATACCTTGTTAAGAAGCTTAGATGCCATAATAGAACCACAGTTTTACATACGTAAAGAAAAAGGAACAAAGGAGGAGCAACAATGCTTGATAAGCAATGTACTCATTACCTCGCCCATGTAATAGTAACCTCTCTGTATGGTATTTTCACAATAATAAAAAAAAGAAAAGAAAACAAATCTAATAAAGAAGATTTGTATATATAGTCAAAAAAAAAAAAAGAAAGAAAGAAAGAAAAGAAAACTGAGATGGAGTGAGAACTTGCCCAATGTGTCAATTAACGGCAGACATGAAACAAAACTCAGATGCTGGTGGATCCTGGATCCAGAGAGTGCTGTCCACCCCCATCCCCTACATACAACTCTCTGACAAAAATGTCCTATCTCTCTACAGTGAACTAAAATGGCCACCACTCTTGTCGATTCTGGAGGTATTCATTTTAGACTTTGGATCCAGTCATTCCTAAAAGAGATTAAAGAATCATACAAATGAAATGCATAAACTAAAAATTGAAGGGAAAGGGTTACAAAAATGCATGACTAAAACAACTCAGTCAGAGGTAAGGTGAATTTATCAAATTGCACACTATGGTGAACTGGATATTTGCTAAAGGGCATTCACACTTTGAAGCTATTATGTAAGCTTACCAAAGAGTAAAAGAAGATTGACAATGACTATCAGATAAACACACACAAATTATTCAGGAGAAACATAACTAATCCTGGTATTAAACTAAATGGAAAAAAAATGTCTATGGAGTCCAACACCAGACCAAATATGATGAAACTTTTCACAATATCAATCAAAGACACACTGATAAAGTCTGTGGGGCTGGGTCAATATTATAGTTCATTGTATACAGAGGATTCCCTCTACAAATAATATATGGGCACCTATGCATGCAGCTATGTAACCACATATTTATTCCATGCCATGTGATACACACACTTCAGAAGAAAGAAACATGCTTGATTCGTAAGTACTTCTCACTACCCTGAATGGTACAGAACCAGGGAGAGAAGCTCATTGGTTCCTTATTGAATTAAAACAGCACAACGTAGGAAGTATTTACATCTGAATGATGAGTCTGAAAAATAAACAGGCAGTATAATACAGCAACAAATGAAAATCTGCCTGGGAAAAGGCTGTCTGGATATCCAATTCTCCCTCTCCAACTCTGGTGTTGACAATACCCAAGGCAAAAGGAAAGAGGCAACTAGTGGACCCAAATTATGGACTCAATTGTTCAGAAGAGTTTTTTTCTTAATTTCTTATTTTATCCCAACTAGGCCAGGCTTAACTTTCAAAGGATTGACAGGTGCTCTGAAAGGCAACATGACAGTCCACAATTCTTGTTTTAGTTGATTAGTTCTGCATGACGGCTCTCTTCTCCTGAAATGCCTAGCATCTCAGTGCCAAAATATAAAAGTTAATTTGGGCAAAACTAGGACC